TCAACACCTTCCTAGATAATTCCCAGTGCCGACTGACGCACCTGCGCGCCATAGAGTGTGTTTTGAACTCGCTCATGGACATCTTGACATCGCTGTCTGCGCGCGATATCGTATGGCTCGACATCACTCCAACGTACCACGACGACCTGCGTAGGTTGTTCAGTGAATTTGAGAGAGCGGAGCAACCACCAGTTTCGCGTCTTCAAACACTGGTTCTTCGTGGTCCCCTGGAACAACACTCGGAGCTCGTCAATCACCCGGGGCTCTCGAGCCGAAATCCTACTCTTCGATTCTACAAGCGGACGTTTGACCTTTTGGACGATTGGGAGATCCCGGAGAGAAAGCCGCTGGAGGGGACGAGTGGGTTGGACGTTGTCGTAATTTCCGAATTGAGGAAAAAGTCTGTGTAGATATCCAGAGTTACTAATAATCTCTCGATTATAATACCCTACGTTATTTTGGCAGACTGGAATTTCTTCTCTAGTCGCATAAATACGTGTAGATTGGTGAAAGAAAACAACCATTACACATCAAGTTCGTCTCCCCACCTCTCTTCAACTCGCGGGCTCACGACTCGGAGGAAGAGAGAATATTCGGCCCATGGTAAAGCCCAATGTGAATATCCATCCCGTCTGCCAACAATTCTCGGAAGATGGTAAGGTCGTCGGGCAGAGGCATGCCCGATGGATAGATGACAAACCGAACCCTCTTGAGCCTGGTACGACGGAGCGAGAGGACATCCGCGAGTGCTGTAAGCACGGTGGTGGGACTCGTAGACTCGCAAATCATAACTTCGTCGAGGTCCAAAGTTTGGAGGTCCGGAACGTGGTGTGGATTCTGCCACAAAAAGTTGAACAACTCCTCCACAAGCGCCGAGTTGAGACACGCCAACTCTAAATGTGTGAGGGTTGGGATGAGAGCCATGGAGTCTTCGAAGCTATCGAACCATGATGATGAATCTCCGAAAAGTTGGAGTTTCCACAAAGGCGGAGATGAGCAACGCAGGAAGGAGATTAAACTGCTGCTGAAGAGAGATTCTGTTTCCATGTGGAGAGTTTCTAGCCGTGGAGCCGAGATCCAGTCTATATCGTCGAAATTCTTGAGATGTGTTAGATGACGAAGATGGGGAAGAACGAGGGTGTCCGGCTCTTCCTCGTTGATATTTCCCATGAATGAGATATTTTGCATGGTCAGTTCGGTGAGATTGGGCGAAAGGCGCAGAAGCCGATGGAAGGAAATCCAAAAGCATTCAGGCTCCGCACCGCCTTGGCCAAAAATCTCCAATGCTTGGAGACCAGGCAGCTCCATTTGGAGCTGAACGTCTCCGAGTAAGTCGAATAATTCGTCCTCATCGTCGATGTTTGCCTCGTCAACGGAAATGACGAGGCGTTCGAGTTGGGCAGAATGGTGCAGAATGGGACGGGCCACCAGCGAGTCGAAGACTCCACCGATGGAAATTCGCAGGTGATAACTCCCGGCACGTCGAAGCCACGTCTCCAAGAGGTCTTTGAAGCCTCTGCCGCGAGGAAAGACGATACCAATCGAAGCCCATAGGGCAGGTGTGGAAAGTGCAATGTTGGTCCAGTGATGACAGATATTGAGGAGGAGTAGAGGGGCAAGATGGGCACGGGCTTGATGGTATTCTCGACGGCCGCGGTTGGACGGGAGACATTGGAGGAAAATGTCGGAAGAAAGCTCGACCGGCAGCCGCGCGATCGGATCGCGTGAGGCGTTCAGCTGGCGCTGAAGAAGGCTTTTACTGCTCTCGAGTTTCCTGAGAACATCCTTCTGGCGCTTGATTTCGAGAGAAATTTGGGCGATCTCCGCCTCGATTGCTTCAGTGGTCATCGTTCAGGCCTACCAGGCGCGCCGAGGAGTGAGCGTGTATCAGAATTCGTAGAATGAGAGACGTACAGTAGTTTCCTGCGCGCTTCCGAGGCTGTAGAGGCGCTCAAACAACTTGCAAGTCGATTCCGTCTGACGCAAACCAGGTACTTAAGCCTTCCACGGAGCATGATGGTGACGATTGACCCACCGACGTAGTCTGTAGCTTCGCAGATCAATTTCTCGTACGAGAAAGAGGCAGCTCTGAATGCTACGCCGTGCTTTGGCAGTGGTGGTCAGGAAGAAAGCCAAGTTGATTCGAATCTTATCAAGTGGCATCACTTGATTTTCATCATGATGATCACGCCGCCCACGAGAGACCCGGACTTGGCCCGGACGGAGCTATGTAGCCCGTCCAAGATGCTCTCCCGATTCTCACTGCGCAACACACCGAGCTGCTTGTTTTCCCGTCGCACCATTTTCTCCAGTCGCTAAACTAGGAAACACCGTCGGCGATCACTACACCGCCACCTGATCGTCATGATACTCTGTTCCTTTCCCTTTCCCGCCAAACGACTCGGTTCCATATTCTGACCGAGGACCTGCACGATCTCCTGTCACTTCCACCAGCCGCGAGACGTTCACGTTCACGTTGACCTTTGACCGAAGCCTATGGGACTTGCTTGGGTGGGAACTTGAACCAACTGTGTCGTCTTTGGAGTCGGATTTTGCGATTCGCAATATTATCATGCAGAACGTGATACCCTGCGGCAAAGTTGGATGAGGGCGGTCAGATTAGCTTGGTGGACGTACGATCAACGGAGCGGTCTTGCGATGCGGGATTAGTTGCGGAATGAGCGATTGAATGAAACGCACCATGTCGAGTATTGTCATGAAATGACCCCAGGCAACAACCCGACGGGTTGTAACCCGATCAACCATCAAACCATCAATACCCTAATCAGTGATCATCATTGATCGGGCGGGTCTTGTCTCAACCCCTGCTTGGTACTCCACTCTCCCCTGCATTTAAACCCCTACCGGTCTCGATCGCCCCTGCTCCTACCCCCTACCTCCTCGTACCTAATTCGATCATGTAGTATATATACCCGTCTACAGTCTCAGTACTGTAGACGAATCTAGTCTATTCTCCCTACGGCTTGCTCTACCTCTTGAGTCTCGTCTGCTGCTCTTCGCTCGGTCGCCTCGTTCGTTGCCGACTAGAACCCGACTTAGCCCTAGGTGCTGACAAAAGATTCGTCTCCCCTTTACTCGAACACTCGACCGAACGAAACGATGGACCCTACTGCACTGGGTATACCGAACCGAGATGCGTTCCAGTCGACGGACGCCATCCACTATCAAGGATTGGATCAAACGGCACGCGAAGCCCACATATTCGATCGCGCGGAAGCGCTGAGCGCCGCAACTCGCGGGCTATTGACGGAAATCTGGGGACCAGACGGGAACCCGGAGGCGGGGTTGCAAGCCGGAGTCTTGCACCTACAGAACGATCTCCAGGATGCATTCCAACGCATCTCGATGATGGAGGACCATATTGCGAAGACCAACAGCGTCATGTTGGATATACTGAAGAACCAGTTGGACGCGAAACAGGGGGGTGGCGATAAATCCCGCAGAGCGCGGGTTGCTGCCCCCGCCGACTTTTCCGGGGCTGCCGAGACCGTGGACGGGTTCTTGGCGGGTTGCTACCTTAACTTCCAGGACAACCCCGTATACGAAAAGGACTCCGCCAAGATCAATTTCACCCTGTCTTACATGAAAGGGGGGTCTGCGGCGATCTGGGCCGAAAACGTAGTAAAGGCCATGCGCAACGGCAGCGGCACTGGCGCCTATACCACCTACGCGGCGTTCGAGGCCGACATTATCTCCAGCTTCAAAGGAGGAGCCCAGGTGGAGGAAGCCCAAGCCAAGATGGAACACCTTCGACAGGCGAATGGTACGGCCACGAGCTACTTCACCATTCTCGACTCGTATAACAGAACGGCGGGATACGACGATACTACGCTTATCCGCCTCCTCAAGACAGGTCTCAGCCAAGAGGTGGTGGAATCGATTTACGAAGGAGTTAACGGAGAACTCCCCAAGACCTACGCAGGGTGGAAAGAAGAAGCCATCAAACGTGATGGGCTCAAGAGACAGTTCCGCGTCCTGAAGAATACTCTCCTGACAGGAGATAAGGCGGGATTCGGGAAAGCGGGGAACCCCAACTCGGGGTCGTACAGAGGCAGGGGACGGAACCCGATGCAGAACCCGAAACGACTTGAAGGGTTCAATCGTACGGAAGGGTTCAACCGATTCGGCACCCAGCGCACGAACACGAACACGAACGCTTCAGGAAGCAGTACCAGCAACCCCACTATACGTACCAGCATCGCTACAACCGCGAGCAACGTCCTGGCCCCCATGGACATCGATCGCACGAATACGGGCCGTCGTCAACCTAGCAACGAAGTTCACTGCTATGGCTGCGGGCTCAAAGGGCACATCCGCCGTAACTGCCCAACCCATGCGCACGTTACCACGCAGTTCCGTGCCATGGTGGAAGAACCCGACACCAAGGAGAACTCGGACGAAGAGTCCCCAGAGGATTTTTCCAACGACCGGGATTGAAAGCCACGTCCTCCCGGTCTCCCTCGATACCCCATGTACACAAGTCGTTCACTAATCAATTTCATACTCTATTGAACGATAAAGATTCTCAAATCGTGGCAAACGAACAAGAAAACGACACTCCTGCCCCCGAGTGGAGGAGTAAGAAGCCGATACCCCGAAAGAAGGTTACCGTCGTACCTCCTACACCAAAGGCGTCGTGGAAGGGGCTACCACCCAACAGTGCCGAGCGACTGCTGGACCGAATGTACGCCCAGCGCCCGCACGCAGTAGAGATGCTGCAGAATTGGACGTACAAAACCCGACGCATCGAAATTACCGAAGGATACGTGGAGGAGCTACTGGGTCTCTATCGACCCGACGCTCTTACAGCCATCGAAGAGCTGCAAAATCCGCCTTCCTCACCAGTGGCAGCACCCAGAATGCATTATGGGCGCGTTTGGCTGGGACCCGTATTGCAATACGGGCGTGCCCCGGCCGGCCGGCCAGGATGTGCCCGTAATGCATTACGGGTCATAGGGTGAAACACAAAAGAACTCAAAGGTTAAGAGCAGGAATTGAACCCAAAACCTCCTGCTGTCAACTGACTAGAGCAGAAGACAGACACCATAACCAACTAGACCATTGTAGAGTGACAGATAGCTGCCAACATCAAGCCAAACCATGCCCCCAGACAGAGATCCCGCCGTGAATTGGCGGTTAGATGACGGTTAGGTTAGGTTAGGTTAGGTTTGGTGTGGCCCAGGACTGTCAACATCCCCCCCGCGGCCTCGGCTGTGAATATCGCTCACAGAATCCACCGTGAATTGGCGGTTAGGGGCAATATCCACTGTGAATTGGTGGTTAGGGGTGTGAATGCTGGGTTAGGGTTAGGTTGGGTGGCTGGTATTGTATGGGCTGCGAATATTTTAACCAGTATGGTTATTATAGTGTAGTAGTAACAGTTGCCATTCTGATTATGTAATGGTGTTCTGGAGGCTGTGGGTTCAATTCAGCCTTCTGCCTGCTGTTTTTGGTTAGGGGCTGTGCTGCTGTCAACACACTGTTCAGAGGCTGTGTACCCAGAATGCATTATGGGCACATGCTGGCCGGCCGGCCAAGGTGTGCCCGTAATGCAATACGGGCTCTGGCCAAATGAGCCCGCATTGCATCAAGGGTACAACCACACCTCCCTTCCTTCATTCGCGCTATGGGTGGGGTGTCAGTGATGGTCCCTATGGTGGTGCAGGATTTGGCTAGCCTCCGTGGGTATACGGTGGTGGGGCTTTTGGACACTGGGGCTACCGCGGAAGGATTCATGAACCAGTCGTTCGCCGAGAGGCATGGGCTCGACGTGGAGGATCTTCCGATGCCGGTACCTGTCTACAACGCGGATAACACCCCCAACGCGGGGGGCAAGATTCGACAAGTGGTCAGAATGCGCACTACGGTGGAGGATCATGAGGAAGTAATGACCTTTGCCCTGACCAATACCGGGAAGACGGATGTCATTCTGGGGTACAAGTGGTTGAAACGACACAATCCCGAGATTGACTGGAGTAACGGAAAGTTGTCTTTTACTCGCTGCCCGCCTGCGTGCCGCACCGAACGCCTCTGGAAGCAATGGGAGGCCGAAGACGAAGATGGGTTGGAACCCGACGATCGGGTATTTGTCACCCGAATTTACGAGGAAGAGGACGCCCAACACGCGGAGCATATCCGAGCTATGGGTTCGGTTGCGACAAAACTAGCAGCGGCAGCCCATAACGCGAAGGGCGACCAGGCAATGGAGGATATTGTCCCGGCCCATTACCTCGATGAGTTTCGCAGTGTCTTCGACAAAAAGGATTTCGACAAACTACCGGAACGGAAGCGTTGGGACCACGCTATCGAACTGAAGGACGGGGCGGAACCCGCCCGGGGTCGGGTTATTCCCCTGTCAATCCCAGAACAGAAGGAGTTGGACGAGTTCATTGCGGAACACTTGAAGACTGGGTGGATACGCCCCTCGAAGTCTCTGTTTGCGTCTCCTTTCTTTTTCGTGAAGAAGAAAGACGGGAAACTTCGACCAGTACAAGATTACCGAAGGTTGAACGCGATTACGATCAAGAACCGGTACCCGATTCCCCTGATCTCCGAAATAATGCACAACCTCCGGAACGCGACGTGGTTCACCAAGTTGGACGTACGATGGGGTTATAACAACATTCGGATAAAGGAAGGAGACGAGGAGAAGGCGGCATTCATCACCAATCGAGGGCTGTTTGAACCCTTGGTGATGTTCTTCGGGTTGACAAACTCGCCGGCGACCTTCCAGTGCATGATGAACGACATCTTTGCCCGACAGATCGCCGAGGGTCGGGTTATTGTCTACTTGGACGACATTTTGATTTATTCCTCCAACAAGGAGGAGCACCAGAGGACAGTGCGCGAGGTGCTGCAGATCCTACAGGAGAATGACTTGTACTTGAAACCCGAAAAGTGCGAGTTTGAGAAGCGGGAGGTCGAATACCTTGGGGTGATTATCGGGGATGGAAAGATTCGGATGGATCCCGTGAAAGTTGCGGGAGTACGCGAGTGGGCAGAACCCAAAACGGTCAAAGAGGTTCAGAGCTTCCTTGGGTTCCTCAACTTCTACCGTCGGTTTATTGCCGGGTTCGGGATCCACTCCAAACCCCTAACACGGCTGACGAGGAAAGATTACCGGTGGCGATGGGGAGGTGAAGAAAGGAGAGCGTTTGAAACGCTGAAGGACTTGGTCACCGCCGAACCGGTGCTGCATTTTCCGACTGACCATGGCGAATGGCGGATGGAAGCCGACTCTTCGGATTTCGCGACCGGGGCGGTGCTTTCTCAACTCCAGAACGGAGTCTGGGTTCCGATCGGGTTCTTGTCCAAATCTCTTAACGACACGGAGCGAAATTACGACATTCACGACAAGGAGATGCTGGCGATTATGCGCGGTTTGTACGAATGGAGGCATTTCCTTCAAGGCAGCAACAAAACCTTCGAGATTTGGACGGACCACAAGAATTTGGCTTACTTTATGACGACAAAGAAGCTGAACCGGAGGCAGGCACGCTGGTCGCTGGAGTTGAGTGAATACGACTTTTTGCTGATCCACAAGCCCGGTAAAACACATAACAAAACGGATGCCCTTTTGAGGCGAAATGGCCATGAAAAGGGGGCAAAGGATAACAGCGATATCACGTTGCTACCAGCGGACAAATTTCAACAGACACCGAAGGAGGAATTTCTGCGAGCAATCCCAGACCAGGAGGGAGGGGACCAATTTTTGCAACGCATCAAGGACGCCCACGACAAGTGGGAGGATGCGGCCAAAGAGGGTTTGGCCAAGAGCAAGGATGAAGAAGCCGAGGAGGAGAACCCGACCTGGCAGGAACACGACGGGTTCTTGACTAGGCATGGATCGGTATACGTCCCTTCCGACAAGGAGCTACGCCATCACATAACCCGAGCTCACCATGATACGTATATGGCCGGTCATCCTGGACAGTATCGAACGGCGGAATTAGTAGCGCGAAACTACTACTGGCCGTCCATGACCCGGGACATCAAGCGGTACGTAGCCGCTTGTTCGACGTGCCAGAAGACGAAGACGTTTCCATCCAAACCCCGCGGACCCTTATCACCGAACGCAGTGCCCGAACGAGTGTGGCAGAACGTCTCGATCGACCTAATCACGAAGTTACCTGAGTCCAAGGGGTACGACAGTATCGTGGTGATTGTGGATAGACTGGGTAAGGGAATTCGGGTTGTGCCCTGTCGGGAACAGATTACCGGTGAAGGGATTGCCCGGGTTTATCGGGACAATGTGTGGAAGGATTACGGGTTACCGGAGGTGGTAATCAGCGACCGTGGAACACAATTCGTGGGCCACTTTATGCGCGACTTGATGAAACTTCTGGGAATGAAGTCGAATGTGTCGACAGCATATCATCCGCAAACCGACGGTCAAACGGAACGGGTCAACCAAGAAGTGGAGCAGTATCTCCGGATCTTTACGAACTTCATGCAAGACGACTGGGCAGAATGGTTTACCTTGGCCGAATTCTCCTACAACGACAAGGTCCACGCAACGACGGGATTCAGCCCCTTCTTTATGACTCTCGGGTTCCACCCGCGCAAAGGGATTGAACCACTACGAGAGGTTCCGACGGAGAAGGCGATGGAATTTGCGCAGAGAATGGAGAAGGTACGGGCAGAAGCCGCAGCGGCAATGCGCCACGCACAAGAAGTTATGAAGAAATACTACGATCGCAGTCGACAACCCGACCCGGGGTACAAAGTAGGCGACAAGGTGTGGCTAGAAGGGAAGAATCTGCAGACGCACCGACCCACCAAGAAATTCGAGGACCGACGGTATGGTCCTTTCCCGGTGGTGGGCAAGGTTGGATCCCTCTCGTACGAAATCAAGACGCCTGCATCTTGGAAAGTTCACCCGGTTTTCAATACGGTCTACCTTCGACCTTGGGTACCACCAGTGGCCGAGCATCAGAAAGCGGTGGATCCGCCACCCCCGGACGTGGTTGACGGTCATTATGAGTATGAGGTGGAGGAGATCCTGAAAGTCAAGAGAGGCAGCGGGAATCAGCGCAACACGTTGCGCTACTTCGTCAAATGGAAGGACTATCCCCCGGCTGAATGGACTTGGGAAAAGCGCGCTTTGTTGGATGGAGCAGAGGAATGCATAGAGGAGTTCTATGAGAAGAACCCGACTGCACTCCGTGAAGAACGGGTTAACGGCCGATGGAAGATCGTGTCCTGAGCGCTTCGGGACGCAGCGCTTGAACGGAGGGGATAATGTCATGAAATGACCCCAGGCAACAACCCGACGGGTTGTAACCCGATCAACCATCAAACCATCAATACCCTAATCAGTGATCATCATTGATCGGGCGGGTCTTGTCTCAACCCCTGCTTGGTACTCCACTCTCCCCTGCATTTAAACCCCTACCGGTCTCGATCGCCCCTGCTCCTACCCCCTACCTCCTCGTACCTAATTCGATCATGTAGTATATATACCCGTCTACAGTCTCAGTACTGTAGACGAATCTAGTCTATTCTCCCTACGGCTTGCTCTACCTCTTGAGTCTCGTCTGCTGCTCTTCGCTCGGTCGCCTCGTTCGTTGCCGACTAGAACCCGACTTAGCCCTAGGTGCTGACAAGTATGATGAACTGAGCATTTGAACTCAGGAGATATACAGTCACGAGGGCGATGAGGGCGGAGGAGTAAGTTGCCGCGGACTCGAGGAATATTATCTGTCCACCAGATCAGTTCGAATTCTAGACGGACGTGGTTCGAAATTCGTGCGGACCAAAGCTGAATACACCAAACTGTTTCCAGAGCTGGATTTGTGAATTGCCATACGGGTTCTCAGGATACGGTATGCAATCAAGACTAGATAAGGATGAGCTATTGAGGCGTGGGCTTGGAAGAAATGGAAAAGCGTACTGGTGCAGACAACATTTGTACTGAGAGTCATGCAGATAAAACTTGTGACCCATGGAACGAGTGCCACCAGAAAAATTCCTCCTTCCCGAGTCCGGAGAAACGCGTGAGTTGTGGCGTATCCCACCACTGCATCAATGAGAAATCTGTGACGGAGAGCTAGCGGCAATCGGCGGCTA